TCTGGAAATTATTGCTGTACAAATAACAACACAGACTCGTAACGTGTATCTGTGTGGATCCAGAGGACAGAAAGAACATACGCATGTCTATTTCCTTGTTTGTACACTAAGGAATGCATATATTGCTCATTTTTTCTGAAGCCTGAATGGGAAATGTGTTTTTAACAACTTTAATCAATACACCAACCTACATTAAAAAAATAAATAAACCCACACAATAAGGAAAAAAAAGCAAAAGGCCAATCAATAGCCAACAGTGCAGCTTAACAGCCACTCCAGCAGAAAACTGTCTGAAAAGGCGCTCACACTCCACTGTCTGCACGATGCACAGCTGCTTGCTATTGATTTGTTGCAAGCAAAGAACATCTATTATAACATGCCAGTGTGAACCTAGCAATTTCTCCAACAAGTAGCCCGCAATGTAGGACCAGCCATGTAGCGCAGGTCGCTGGCTGCGGAGGGTGGGCTGAGGACCCACATTTATTTCCTTCTGTTTTTCCCACAAAGCCTTTATAAACACCCAATTTCTAAATCCAGCAACTTGCTGTGTTTTAAGCACTCACACGAAATACACTGTTTCACATTCACTTCTCCAGGGCCCAGGAGCAATAATGAGACCTCAACGTTGTATGCGACTCACTACCGTTGTCATATGCATGCTCAGGGAGAGCTGTGGTGGTAAGGACTGGTGTAAGGTATTTAAAATTGCTGTTTTCACAAAGCCCCCAGGAATGACAAAGCTTTTGTATGGGTGTGGGTATGTACAAGTGGCATTGGATTTTGTGCAACATTGTGTGTTGGTATGGAGAGAGGGACTCAACAATAAGTCACCCTGCCCACATCACAGGAAAGGGAACTGGATTTGCTATGTTGTGATAGCTGCGACCCACTGAAATCTCCCAGGCCCTTGGCCCTGATTTTAAATACCAGTAGGAACCCAGTATCCAAAAAGAATATCCCTATGAGAAACTGTGTGGAGTTCCATTTCTTCTGTTGTTCTTAAAATGTAGCCCCATCATTAAGTTGGAACTCAGGTGGTATGCACCTTCTGAGAAGTCAGCCCTCTCTGGTTTGAGTTTTTCAGAAGAACTGAAGATTTTCTTTGGAGAACATTACTGGTGTGTCCTCTCCTAGATCTCACGGGATCCTACATCAACCCAAAATTACTTCTGGGATGATTTTGTTCATTATGGTTTCAGAACAGCCTTAAAAGTCACCTAGAGGAAACTCCCTGTGAATCTGCTCTTAGATGAAATGGTAGAAGATCTTATCTTAAAACTACATAAGACAAGTAATAAATCAGTTATACCTGGGTTTCCAATCAGATCACTTTTGGTTTCTATCCAGTATAAGAGAGCCACTCTTACACAAGGTAACCAGCCACGGAGAAGACATGCCACACCTTCACAATCACTGTGTCAGCTTTGCATGGCTCTCTCTAAAATGAAATCTGAAATTCACCCACTGCCTCTACCAATCCACCATGCTCTCAGAGAAAATGATGGAATAAAGTTAAACCCATCCATGCTTGGTCTACTCGTACTAAATGAGATATAGTGTCTAAACATAAGCTCTATTCATGGAGGTGACAACTATGTGACAGCACCTGAAAATCATCAAGCAAACACCCAATTTGGCAAAAAGCCAAGAAAAATCAAAAGGTCATGAATGAAGGAACCAATGCTAGGAAAGATGTGGAGAATGCTAAAACGCAAACATTTCTTTAGAAACTTACAAATCATGCCCAGATACAAGTAACTTTTCTATACATGATGAACTGAACAGAACCCTTTATTTTGAAAAATATCAAAACCTAGCACTTTCCTATTGAACTAGTTTCTATTCTTGGACGTGCCTTAAGAAATTGTGGGTTTTGTTTTGTTTTGTTTTTTATTTTCATTAACTGAGATCAATCTGCTGTCCTGAGAAATACTTCATGGAAAATGAGAGATCCAAACCTTCTCCCCCAACCATCCACCAAAAAAGTCTGTTGCCACTAGATAGACTCTTAAATCAACCATAGGGTCCTATGACAGCATTGTCAGAAATACAATGTATTTTAGATATATGCGACTTTCTGTAGAATACACCATTCCTAAAAATCAGGTAAAGGCCATATTTCCTTGACACTCCAATCATCACATCATGCTCTATTTCTGTTATTTAGGTCAAAGGCAGGCCACCTGCGGCACACATGCTACCAAAGCAATCATGAATGGCCTCTGTGTTCTTCCATATAAGACTCAGCCCTGCTCATCTTTCCTCTTCCATTCACTTATTGTATCTGTTCCCCTTCCTTTGCACTTTTCCCCACAGCCTTTCCCAATGATAAGCATGAGCTTTATTCAAATCTTGGTGACTCCGAAGGTAAAGACTCTTCTCCTGATGCAAGCAAAACTACCAAGAATTTGCTAACAGAGGCCCGGAGAAAATCAAATAGCGAACTCAATTTTGAAGACGTTTGTGAGATAAGGTAGCAAATTACAACGCTAAAGGTCAAGGTTCACACAGAAAGTAATGATCTATGATATAAACAGGTAAGGCTGAATTTTTAGGTTGAACAAACTGCCTCTGATGCTATTTCCAAAAGAAAAGTCCCGTGCTTGCTTAGGCAGCAAATATTCCAAAAGAAAAGTCCCCCGATACTTTCAACGTCAATCATGGGATACAGAGGCATCTATTGTACAATTCTAAGCAACCTAAATTTCTGATATATGCGGTCGATTTCATTAAAAGTGCATATCTACACATGACAGTTATATCCAATTTATCTGAACTCTATTTATTCCTTACATTCTGCAATTAAAATGAACTTGCTCACACTTCCATATAGCCGTCTAGTCATACCAGCCCTGGTCTGCTCTCCAACCAGAGACGAGGCAAGAAGATTCTTTTAACAACTTGGGCTCAAGGTCTTCTACAATAAAACCTTCATCTGTCTGGTTTACAGAATAAAATCCATAATATAATACCTAGGCCTGGATATCTCAGAAGCATCTTTGAAGGATGACGTGGTATTGCCACAAAAGGAAGCTGACATTTCCCAATCCGCTCTAGTACCTCATTATATACTGACAAATTGTTCAAGTCAGATACTGTAACCGTCTTCATTCTGGACTGAGATGCCATCTGCTCTTGACAAAGTCAGAAAAAAAAAAAAATCATAGAAATCCAGGAAGAATCCTGGTTGATTTTTAGCAGAAAATAGTGCCTGGGCCTGGGTGGCCAAAAGGAACATATCAATGAGAGAAAAGTGTGTACGTACCTTCTGAAGACCATGCTATCCACCGCAGTTAGAATCACTTACCTTTCTGCATTTTCTGTGGGCAGTTTCATCCTGACCATTTTCTACCAGGAGTGGTATTTATTTATGATATGGAATAAACTTGGGAGGATAAAGAAGCATTATGCCACCATTTAGGATAAAAAGCTTTCCCAATGAGTCCTATGCAAACAAAGTGGAGGGCGAATAAAGAACATGTAGCACAACTGCCCAGATATCCTGGATGGGTCCATAACTGCCTATTTCCAAGTGGAACAACAGCATTTCTGACTCATAAGTGTGGGAATAAGACTTTCAATAATACCAAGTACTTGGAAAGAATAATCTGATACCAAAACTTTCTGCAGATACTGTGTCCTTTATGTTACAGACCTAGAGGTACCTGCTTACATTAGATCAATGAGAATCAAAGATGTTTATCTCTACATTGTTACAGTTCCCACCTGTTTCTCCAGGTAGATCTTAAGAGACTGACAGAGCATATAAAGACAAAAAGCTATGAGAAAAAATGAGAAATAGAACATGGGGCAACTATGCACACGAAAACAAAAAAGTTGAGAAATAAGGATTCAAGAAAAACCAAGTGAACACGATAGAGATGGCATTGTAGTCAGTACCTACTCCCACTTAGGCAACCATACTGTGACTTTAGTATCTGCTCAGATAACACCACGCACCTTTTTATAAAACCAAGAGGTCAACGGGCTACAAGTTCAGATTACAATATAAACTCCTACCATTTAGAAAGTCAGAAGATCAGCAGGACCCACTATATCAGGGCTTTCAAAAAATCTCTTTGAATAGGTATTCAGAAAATTCAGGCGTTGGCTTATTCTTTAAAAATAGCCATGTTAGGAAAGTAACATAAGAAGGCAGTGGAGACACAGGTTATAGATTCCCACAGAACTGAAGTATCTCTACCATCAACTCTAGAATCATCTTCATGAAATCAGTCTTCTAGAATTAAATCAGCTGATAGAAGCATTACCAGAGGACAAAATTAACAACTGGTTCTCTTCCAATATGAACTGAATATGCAGATACATACTTATAAATATATGTACAAAATAGAAATGCATATATAAACAGAACGACTATGTACATACAAACCAAACAGATATCAACAGAGTTAGCTACAGGGAATTTCCAAATATTTGAAAAGCCCCTGAGAATGCCTTAAACATTTCTAGTTAGAAAAAATAATAAACTCTGAATGTCTTCATCATTTGGAAGAGCTAAGAAATTCTCTAAATTCAGAATTTTGAGAAAACACCTAGATTTCTTAAATAACCTCTAAATTCTAGACAATACAAATGGAAGAGTCTCAAAACTGTTATCCAGATGACTTAATTATGGAAAAACTGAACTCCTTAGAGCAAAAATATTGCTTGAGCTGGATTTTGTTTTGTTTTTGTTGTTGCTGTGGGGGGGGTTGTTTTTGTTTTTGTTTTTGTTTTTTGCTTCTCAGCCACAGGCAATCTAATCTAAAGAAAAAACACATGTAGTAAGCAAATGGGAAAACATGTAGTAATGTTGAACAAGTAATATCTCTTTGCTCTTCCATTAAGAGCACCAGTGCTATATTTTCCAAGTTTCTGGAGGAGAAAATTGCTTACAATTCTTTCAGAAGAACCATCCTTTTACATTATGTTCCTTAAGTTTTCTCTAAACCTCAAAACAGTGAAAAAATTCCCAAGTATGAAAAGGTTGCACTCACGATCATTGCACTGGTTTCCGGAATATGACGTCATGGAGCAGTCGCAGGTGAAGCCTTCCCACTGCTGCATGCAGACCCCCTGGTTGGCACATGAATCTTCCTGGCAGGTGGTACTTGGTCCTAGTAATCCATACGAAGAGGGGGAGAGAAGAAAAAAGGAGAGAGACAAGTGTTCACAATGAAGTTCAAAGCAAGCACTTGACTTTGCGACTCCCATGCCCCAAAACATTCAAAACCACAACCACCCAAAATGTCATCTCTAGATCATGCAACAAGAATCAGGATATACAAAAGACTACAGAGATACACACTTAGCCACAGACTATCAACAGTTACACACAGAAGGGAGAGGGCTGAGCACATTGTTCTCTTAGGCAGACTTTTCAAAAGAGCTTCATCTCTACCACCCAACTAGAAAGACACTTCATTTGGAATATGGTCTTTCTAGACATATAATGGTAAAGCAAAAAAATTTATTCCCATGATTCTTATGAATTAAGGCATAAAAGTCCCTAAAGTTTACTTTATGACATTAAAAAGATGTTTGATGACATTAGGGGAGGAGAAAGAGAAGCATGTAGCAGCCAACATATATTGGTATTTTGTAGGTGGTAAGTACTGGGTACTAAGAACTTTGTCTACATTACCTCATTATGCTCTCCAGTGACACTAAGAAGTAAGTAATTATGATCACCCATTTCACAGATCAAAAGAAAAAGAAAAAGAAAAAAACTAAGCTTATATAAGTAATCTACCCAAGGTCACACATTCAGTAATGAAAGGACCATGATATCCAACTTAGGTAAACCATCTCTGGGAACCATGCTCTTAGCTACATCAGTAGTTTTTAAAGTGTTATTTATCAGACCAACATCACCTGGGAAGTGGTTAGAAAGGCAAAAGATGGGGCCCCAGACCTACTGAATCAGAAACTTCAGAAAGAGGTAAAAATGTGTGTTTTCACAAGCTTCCAGGAAGTTGTGACACAGTCTAGAGTTTGAGAACCAGTATATTATACTGTGCTGTTGCTATTGGTTTACAGAAGGGTGTATTGAAAAGCAGTGTCCATATGCCAGAGGATGCAAAAGAGAATTATTTGAGGGATAGGAAGAAAATATTAGAAATTGCATTCTTTTAATTTTTTTCTTTATTATTTCTATTTTCATGTGTCTTTCATAAGTCAACAATATATAAGTACAGTGGTACAAGTATCTGATGTAGAAATAATTACACTTATGTGGGGGCATTCTCAAAATTTTTTTCTTTTCTTTTTTTTTTTAAGATTTTATTTATTTATTTGGCAGAGAGAGAGAGAGAGAGAGATCACAAGCAGGCACAGAGGCAGGCAGAGAGAGAGGGGGAAGCAGGCTCCCTGCTGGGCAGACAACCTGATGCGGGCCTCGATCCCAGGACCCTGAGACCATGACCTGAGCTGAAGGCAAAGGCTTAACCCACTGAGCCACCCAGGCACCCTCAAAATCTTTTCTGGATATGAGAAAGCAACTGAAAAAGTTTGGTGATCTCTACTTTACAGGTTGTCATTAAAATCTCTCTTTAGGTCAGCCTGAGGCCTCTCTTTTACCATTTGCTCTTTTTCATTTCTGTCTTCTGCCTTAACCTTGGGATTAAAGATAAACCCGCACCTTTGGAATTATCTGAGCTAATAAGAACTATCTTAATATTCAAGATAACTCCCAAGAGAGCCTCAGCAAAGGAGGTGAGCCCTTTGACTCATCAAATATATTACTCAAGATCTGATGCAAAAAAGCACTTGACAGAGTAAAAATATACCCACCGCACTAAGCGCGTATTTCACCGTTTCCAAAGCAAAGCCTCACGTGGGCACGGAATATTGAAATGTATGCATGCAGAGTCCTAGGGATGCATGTTCAAAAGAGACACACGACTACAAAGGGTTTATCTTCTGGGTGGCAAGACATTCTGTATTTATTCATGAGGGGTAGAAGCAATACAGACAGTCACTCCTGATACAAAGCTATTAGTATATGACATAAGAAAGTTCAAGACAATTACTAGCACTGGGGGAGCAGCACTGCTGCTGGGTCTCTGCAGCTCCTATCTGCCATGTGGTTCCCCCATGTGGAGATGAAAGGAGGTTCATGGTCATGCTCTCAGTGGGTCTTAAACTTGAGCATTGTGTAGTACAAGTTTCATTAACAACGGCAAATCAGGACAGCTTCTTTCAAAGGATAAAAGTTTCTGAGAAGTCCCCAGGGCTCCCTGACCAAACAGCTCTTAGCAGACAATGGACTAGTAATTCAATTGTACTCAGGAACCAGAAACACATGTAAGGCTTTCCCCTGAAAGGCAGTAGAACCGGCAAAAACTTGGGGAAAACACAATAATCCCTTGAATGTTAATTGAATCTGAGACCAAGGCTTTTCTATGCTTTTCCCTTCCCCTTTAACTTGGCAAATGCTCACCATTTTCTAAGGACCAGCTCAAAGGCCTCCCCTGTATAAAGCGTTCCCTAGTAACTTCGAACAATTCTCCCACTTCTTAGTGGCCATGACATTTATTATCTGCATCATTAACATTTACATAGGGTAATATTCAGTTGAACACTTTATTACACATGGTGATGTCCTCTGCTTATAGAAGCCTCTAATTGTTTCATATTTTTTCAGTATTGTCCCCAAAAGACAGAATGCTGCCTGCTGCTAGATATCACAAATATGCTTTGATTATGTCCTTGCTGGGTTCAATGTTCTGTGCCAGATACAGAGAATGTGTTTCAGTCAGTGTTGAGCTATCTGAACCCCCATCTGCCTATGTCTCCTACTGTTGAAACCTGAGCATGGGTGACTCTGCTCCACAAAGCGGAGAATTTGTTGCACATGCATTATGGGGGCAAGTGCCATGCAGAATCAGATAGTCCTCAAAGACCAAAGACCGTCGGGGCGCCTGGGTGGCTCAGTGGGTTGAGCCTCTGCCTTTGGCTCCAGTTATAATCTCAGGGTCCTGGGATTGAGCCCCACATCGGGCTCTCTGCTTGGCAGGGAGCCTGCTTCCCTCTCTCTCTGCCTGCCTCTCTGCCTACTTGTGATCTCTGTCTGTCAAATAAATAAATAAAATCTTAAAAAAAAAAAAAAAGACCAAAAATCATCTACATTGTAATCACCTCAGAACAAGAGCGGCTGTGGCAAGGCGGGGCTTGAACCTGCAACGACTCCTCATAGATCTGACACTAAACTCGCACTTGTTACTGAGGCTGAGATCCTCGGAGCCCTGCCTCCTCCTCCAGCAGCATGTCCCACTCGTGGCCCCCAGCTCACAGCGCTGCAGCCATCCTTTCATCCTTTCACTCCCTCCCGACCCCAGTGGTGCTCACCTGGTGGGCCCCACAGCAGCAGCAGCACCTGGGAGCTCAGGACAAAGGTGCCTTTTCAGGCTCCGCCCAGACCTACTGGCCCGGGACAGGTCTCAGGAATCAGAGGGGTGATAAGCCCTCTGGGTGGTTCTGAGGCCTTTTCACCTTCCAGGACCTCTGCTCGTACACTTCAAGACCATCTACCTTCAAGGTCCTCTGCTCTTGTTCTACCTACAGCCTGAAATGTCCTATCTGCAGATTATCAAATGATTGGTCCATTCTTATTCTGTTTAAGTTTCAGGCTTAAGGTGGGCTTTCTTCAGACCCTCCTATTTCAGGCGGTCCCCACCAGCATTTCCTGTGTTCTCCATCATAGCTCCTTCTTGATTTAACTCAACAATGCAGTGCCTAGAACTAAGTCATTTATTAAAATGTTTATTGTTTGTGGGTGCCTGGGTGGCTCAGTGGGTTAGGCTGCTGCCTTCGGCTCGGGTCATGATCTCAGGGTCCTGGGATCGAGTCCCGCATCGGGCTCTTGTGATCTCTCTCTGTCAAATGAATAAATAAAATCTTTAGAGAAAAAAAAAATGTTTATTGTTTGTCTCATCCTATTGGAATAAAAGCCCTGTGAGGGCAGAAGTCTTATCTGCTCTTCTCAACTTTATAGCTCTTTTTTTTTTTTTAAGATTTTTTTTTTTTATTATTTACTTGACAGATATCACAAGTAGGCAGAGAGGAAGGCAGAGAGAGAGGAGGAAGCAGGCTCCCTGCTGAGCAGAGAGCCCGATGCGATGCAGGGCTCGATCCCAGGACCCTGAGATCATGACCTGAGCAGAAGGCAGAGGCTTTAACCCACTGAGCCACCCAGGCACCTCTATAGCTCTAACTTCTGATAAAGTATTTGGTATAAAATAAGAGCTCAGAAAATGTTGCTAAATGAAAAAAGAACAAGAGAACCAAACCCCCCCCCCAAAATGAAGTCATTCTTTTATCACTTAAAGCCAAGTGGTATTCCTAACAATTTACCCATAAAATTTATCAATATCACTTCCTGCAAACAATTTTCAACTTGGAATCACTTTTTTGGGGGAGGTATTGATGGTGGTAGGATTTAATTGGCCATATTCCCTCCCCTAACTTAACTATTAGATTTGGACAATCTTACCAGATATTGAGATAAGAACTCTTCTGTGTCCCCAGTGTCCAGGGACAGTATAAACAGCTGAATGATTAAGTGTTGGCGTTAGAGCCTAAAAAGCTTCCTAGATGATAATATATGTATTTAAGTACATCCTTTCCTGAACGGATATTTTATATTTGTCTATTTCTCAGATAGCAGTGTCTCCAAAACTAAGGAGAGAAAGAAATTAGAGAAACATGCCAAACTACCCCCAAAAAAGAAAAAAAAGAAAATCTTCAATAATACTTCTAAAGGTGCCTCATTGATGTAAAATGATCCTGTCTAAAGATGATATAACAATAACAAACCAAGGGATTTACATAGCACTTATCATCTACCAGACACTGTACTAAGTACCTTTCAGATATTAACTCAATCTTCATAAACACATGACAAAGCAATTACAATTAAGGGTGTTAGGGAATCAGAAAACAGGAATAATTTTCTCAAGGAAGAACTTTAAAATAACCCAGAACTTTAAAAATAAAGGATTTTTTTGACTGATGATCAAGTCGGAAGGCAAGGGTTTCAGAGTAGTACACTGAGCCAGAGAGTTACGTGATATTTTTTGTGAAGCCCCCATTATAAGTAGTAGGTGAGATCTCAAAC